GGGCCTCCTCCATCGCGCAGATCCTGATCGCCCCTGCCCCTTCCCCCAGTCCCCGCCCTAACCCCCAATCTCCTCTTTCATAAAGTTTACAAGATTTGTCCTTTCTGGGGTTTACACGCACCGAGCACATGGCAACTCGCTTCTAATTCCAGGGGCTCCAAGCCCAAGCCCAAGCCCAACCCCCAGCGAACCCTAGAAGTTAGAGGGGCAAGTCCGAAGAAGAACTCGAGTGAGTGCGGTCCCGTCCATCGTCTGCTGGCTTCTTCTCTCTCTAACCTTGGGTTGAGTACAGAATACTACACTGGCCAGACTACGGTAGTGGTACGGAGCAGAGAGGGGACTGGCAGGCAGGCAGTCAGGCGGTCAGGCAAGCAGGCAGGCAGGCCCCTGACTCACGTCTGGATTGGAGCTCGGTCGGGGGTGGTTAGAACCTCCCGTTGGTTAAGTTCGTTGCCGAAGTTCAGTTCTATCCTCGACGACTGATCCCTCACCGATGGGGCTGGGGCTGGGGCAGGGGAGACGTGACCTGGGGTTTAGTCATTGGGGTTCCCGAGGCAAGCTCCCAGTGTTCAGAGGCTGCTGGGGAGAGTGATATATCTCGGGCCTCGATTGAACCGTTCAGTTCCGGTGGCCGAACATCCGGTTCTCAGGTGAAGGATCTTCCGCGTTGTAGGAGGCTGCACTTCACCCGCAATTGGGGGAAGCTCCAAGCACTACGGGGCCGTGGAGTGAGGACTCCCCCAAGAGTTGCGGATCCAGGTTCGGCCTGGCGGTGGGGCTGGGGCTGGGGCTGGAGGTGGATCGACGAGAGCGGTCAGCTGCTGCACTAGACGTTTACTACCTGCCCATACCTCCACTGCCACTGAACTCCATCCCCGTACCTTCAGTCGTTCCCGGAGGAGGGGATGGGGTCAGAACGGTGGGGGCCTGGTTCGCCCCGAGTCCTCGCCACGGAAAACCGGGGACGCCATATAATCGGCTCTATCCATCATTGTTCGAGCGGTTACCGCAGGCCCCAGCCGGTCAGGTCCGTCCCACAACGAGGGAACGGTGCCAGGAACCGGGGACTCGGACCATGAGAAGAATGCGCAGGAGAGAAGGTTTCGCTGCGGAACCACGGAACCGGTGAAGAGGGGACGTCCTCCGGAGTCTGCGGCGTCCCTGAATATAATTCTCCACACGCTCCACATTAGGTACCTGTACGTAGATGGAGGACGCAGCCCTTTAATCACCAAGGTACGCCCTGGGCTGGTCCATCATGGACCTGGTCCCGTACCTAAAGTCTAAGCACGAGGCACGTGGCATCTATCTCTCCTCCCATACTGGCCTGACTGGCGGACTGACTCACTGACCGTCTGGGGCGTGGAGCAGCAGGGGCAGCAGCAGCAGTACTGAAAAGCTAAGACACCCTTTGCTTTACTTTCCATGTTCTTGTAAGAGGAGTTCCTCGCAGGGGGGTAATGGGGTCAGGGGCGGTTGCCAACGAATCCACGGAGCGCCGACGGGAAGAGGACTTTTTGCCGGTCACCGGCAGTTACGACTCGCGCAATAATAATAGCCTCCCCTGCCCTGCCCTCCCCTGCCCTCCCCGTTCGGCTGACCGAAGCCCAGCCACCGGCTGCTGCGCATAACGGCTAAAAATCCGAGCCCCCGGTCTCTCGATCAGACGCTTGACGTTTTCTGTCGGGCGTCCGTGAATGAGTGAATCGTCGACCATCGGACCGGTCCCCGAACACTTCGGCGAGTGTTTGTCTGATAGCTGCCTCGCCATGTTTGTGTGCAGGGTCGGTAAGCCGGAGGAGGGGCTCTCGTTATTTCTGTGACGCATCCACTCGTTACCCCACGCCGGAGAGCGAGGGGTAACCTCTGCGTGAATCCGCGCTTGCTCGGAACGAGTACCGGCTCCTAGCGGGTAGTAGGTTCCGCATGCGAATCCCGCCTGCAGAATTCAGCTGGGAAACCGGAGACCAGATGTGCCAGGTAGAGCAGGTACCATGATACGAGCAGAGGACAGGTGGGTTTTCTCTCTGTTGCCACGTCACGTTCAAAATGGCTACCCAGCTGTATTTGATCTCGGTGTGCTCTGATTGGCCCCTCTCTGTCATGGAGACTCCTTTTCCCCCCAGCGAGACAGCCGAGCCATTCGAGAGATCATCGCTGCCCCAGCCCCCAGCCGAAAATTTCGCTCCCATCCGCCCGAATAACCGACTCTCGACTCTACCCTCTGCCAACCCCACCCCCAACCCCCTCGCAAGCGCATCGACATGGCATCGGTAAGCGCCACGTTCGACTTCGACTCGCGCAGTCGAGGTCGATGTACGGTGGCTCGCAGTTGCGCCCGTCTTGGCCCGATCGGCAGCTATGGGGGCAATGGTTCTCTCGTGATTCACAGACAACCGACACTTCGTCCCCGCTGCTGTTGGTAACATTTATAAGGGCGTCATCCGGAGCCCTTGTACAACGCTGTACAGTACAGCGCGCACAAGCTCTGGACCAAGTTCGGTGCGCTCGTTCTTGCCAGCTCGCTGCTATGAACACTCCTTGCCCCGCAGTACGGCGGTGCCTAGAGAGAGAGCTCCTTCTGCCCCTGCCCCTGCCCCCTCCCCCGGAGCCGAATCGAGCCGCCATTGCGAGTCCCCAGCCGAGGCCGAGCGGGGGCTCGCCGGACACAAGGGGCACGGAAGGGCCGCCAGATTTAGACCATATCCGGCGTGTCTGAAGGGGCAAGGTCGGCGGTGGCAGGGAGGGGGTAGCGGTAATAGACGACGGTGGCACGCCCCGACCCCGTGGAGCGTACCGGGCATAGCCGGGGGATCATGCGCTCGACAGAGGACGAGAAGCGGATGGGGCGTGACTTGCCGGCCGAGTCAGAACGAGTCACCCTGTCTAACTGTTAGAGGTCGAGGCAAAAATCTTCTGACATTTGAGGTTTCCGCACCTTTATGCATTAAGTAAAGTGGCCACTTAAAGCTGTCGTTGATAGATATTTATAAATGATCCGTTGAGGTTGTTGATGAACGCTGGAAGGGGACGAGGTCCATCTCTCTGCAATTGTCACTCGCATGATTCTTTCAGTCGGTATTCTTTTACTGTGCCCGATCTGAACGAAAACCTTCGGGTCGAAGAATTTACGATCAAAGAATTTCCAGGACTAGCTGAATAAGCCCTACGAGAGGATATTTTTCTTTCGTGTTTATTTTTTATTATATTTTTGCAATACAATGCTTCTACTGTACATACACTTAAGTGAGATTAGATTTGAATATTCTGATAAAAAAAATAATGAAACTGGAATTAAGAGATGAAAACCTATATTGTATAATGCATCATTCGAGATTTGAATCTCACAGGAGAAAAAGGAATACATGTGGCTCACTATGCCTTTGTTTCATATTCATCCATTGAATTTTTTCAATCGAAACCATGACTTACTCAAGCCTTAAATTCATTCAGGCATAATCTATGTGAAGGCCACATTATTTGCGCATAATCTATGTGAAGGCCACATTATTTGCAGATACTGACTTTGATTTGATTCTAATATTCTCAAATTCTTAAATGGGAGCAGACTTAAATGAAAATATGGGTGGAAATACCCCATAAAACACTGTACAGTTTAATGAAACTTTCAGTGTAATTTTCCTTTGAACTATTTTGAACTATTTTTTTCCAAAAATGATTGCTCAAGCTTGCTATATTGATCAGAGAGATATTCATCCGCATAAACGTGAAATTTTCATTCATTTTCATTGGAGGAAACCACCAAAAATACATAATGGAAGTCAAAAGTTACACACAACAAAATTTATCATGGCCATATGTATCGATACAAGATTTAAATTCTAAAATGAGACAAATTTGATGCCCATATGATTCTAGAATCTCAACAATTTTAATCAATCGATAATATGAAAACATGAACTTAGAGTACATACAAGTATTGCTTGAAAAATCTTTGAATTTTTAAACCTATACCTAAGGATGGTGAACATTTTGCGTATCCGATACATGTTAGTGGTAATTCATGTATGAATCCATTGCCACTCTTCTTCTTTACAGTGATCCCTAATCAATTTGCAGCTAAATCTGGATTGCGATAGATTTTGAGAATCGAGAACTGTAGAGATCATGAGTGCGAGTAAGAAACAAGCTGCAGTCGAAGTAATCATAAAAGACTTGAATGTAGCATATAATAAGCTGGACAATTTTACTTCAGGAAAATATTAGCATCTGGACTGCACATTACTGTATAACCCATCACTGGAAAGACAGAAGCCTCATCATTTCTGTGAATGTGATACCTAAATACTGTTACACATTCTTATTATACCAGATGCCCTCAATCGAGTACTGCTTGTTTATGAATATCCATCCCCGATATTAAGTAACGGTAGAGTTGAAAAAACACCAACAAATCTAGGATCCCCATTCAACCATACTAATATGAAGTTATTAAGAAAAAGTGGTAATGTATCTGACTAAATAAAGAGTGATAATATATCGTGAGGAAGATTCAAGAGAATGAAATAAACGCTTTAAATCGAGAAAAGAGGTATGCTGCGAAACGAATCTATGAAGCGACCGGGAGCACCCGGTAGCACCGAAGATTTCGGGGAAAACTGACACTTGTTTGTGGTTGGACAACGGAAAGAAGAGAACATTGGGGGTAGAGGGGGCAGAGTCCCGGTCACAAGCCGGGGATCCGGAAGATATCGGGGACGGGGTCTGCAACCGCGGGACAAGGCGGGAGACAGGAACGGGCCGGTGCCTCAGACTAGCTGTTGTGCAGTGGCAACGTCCGGAGGGGGCTGCTCCGCAATATGCGCGAAAGAGCAGCAGCCCCTCCGGGGGGTCTAGACTCCGATGCATGCTCGGGAGGTGGCTCTCGAGGGGCTACCCCGAGGCCCCCTGTCTGTCCCTCCCCCAGCCCCTGCCCCTGCCCTTGGCCCCATAGCTAAGTCTATATATTGCACATTTAATGCTGCCTCGAAGCTAGATCTCGTTCTGCGCTTTGAGTCTAACCGGCACTACCCCCGCCTCTCACTGGCCTCGAGCACCAGCTCCAGCTCGGGTTTGCTTGCTTGCACGGCGAGCGAGAGAGAGAGAGAGAGAGAAAGCGAGTGAAGTGAGTGAAGTGAGTAGGTGCTGCTGCTCTCCCTCGCTCAGCTGGAGCTGTTGTGCATGCAGCATATAGCATTATCTGGAGCACGGAGCTGGAGGACGAAAGTAAACGAGGGCGAGAGGAAGGATCGTCTGTCACTATCACTGGCTGGATTGCACCCAGAGAGAAGAAGAAACTCATAGAGAGCTCAGCACAGCCACAAATCGGACCTCTTGTCTTGGGGCTTTGAAGGAAGGAGGACGAGGAGCACGAGGCTCTTGAGGCTGCTCTCTCTCGTCTGTTCGTTTGCCGTGCCGTTCTTTCGAGGTGAGTGTGAGTGTTGAGGGAGGCAGGGACTGGACGAATGTCGAGCGCTCAGTGTAATGTAGTGTAGTGTCCGTGTCTGTCTGAGGGAGGGAGGCATTTGCACTTTGTTTTGCTGTTGTGGAGGACTGCCCAAGAGTTTGCGTTTTGGCCTGTAGTGACAAAATCTTTCGTCGGGTCAGTCTTTCGGCTGCTGCTTTGTGCTCTCGCTGCTGCGCTGCGGCTGCATGGATGGGATCGGGGTGGGGCTCCGGGCAGGCGAGGGCCGGGACCGTGGCCAATAGACGAATCGATGCTGACTCCTGACTGAGACTCGTTCAGAGATAGAGAGATAAAGCGAGCGCAAGAAAGAGAGAGAGAGAGAGACGATCTAAGATGGTGTGCGTGTGGGAAGGTGTAGATTCTCACGCTGATGCGAAACTTTGTTCTTTTTTTTGTCTTGGCAGTGGCACTAACAGACGACGACGACTTCTGCTTCAGCTTTCTGCTTGCTCTGCTTCGACTCCTGCCCCCGCTGCATGACGCAGGAAGCTGCGTGGGGCTCTGGACTACCGCTTCGGCTCCTTTGGCCGTCGTTTGACAGAGCAGAGTTTTGAGAGGGTTTATGTTGGCGCGAGGTGACGTCAGGGACCGCAGACTCGACGCAGCAGCAGGTGCCTGGAGGAGGAGGTTTATCCGAGGATCGATCAACATCATCATCGCCCGGACAGCAGAAGGAAGGACTGGAGACAAGAGACGCGTGCACTCGATCTCACTCTCCCTCTCGCAGTCGCCGCATGATGCGATTCGGCGAAACATGCTCCTCAGTCGTTTGAGAGTGCACGCAGTGGTGGCGAGCCCGAGCCGAAGCACGGGGAGTCGAGAGACACGAGTGGTGGCCGGTGCTCCATAGGCTCGTCGGCCGAGTAGTATGCTGCTCATCATGAACCGGGTCGGCGGAGCTGCTGCTGCTGCTACCTCCATCTCCAATCGCGCCATGACGCTCTTCCTGGCGTTGTTGCTCGTCGCGGCGATTTCGCTGCAACCAGCTGCGGCCGAAATTTATCTGGTCCGCATGTCCGGCGCTCCCGTGTCGGCGTACACAGGCTCCGTGCCCGGCTTCGCGGCCACTGCCGCCCAAGGAGGCAAGCGAGCTGACATTACAAGGTGCTCACTCATCCGACTCACTCCCACCTCCCACTCTCCTGAGCTGACTCGCTCGCTCGTCGGACCAGAGCTATCGCGAAGCTCCGATCTCAGTTGTCGGTGTGCTCTTCTCCTCAGCGAGCAGATCAGATCGAATGTCCTCGCCCCAAATTCTTATCGCACTTCGTGGCGCGCTTGCAATGCTGAGGATTTCTTTGCTTTCTGCGGCCTCGTCGTGCCATTCTCGGAGTGTCGTCGTCGTCGAGGAGTCGGTCCGACGTGGCGAGGCCCTCAAGAAGTAGTACCCCCCAGCTCGGTCCAGGTGTCGTAGGCGCCTATCTGGCTCACAACCGGCTCCTCAACCCCTGGCCCGTATCGTGGCAGCGTACATTTCTTTAAGCACCGAGGAGTCGTTGTGTGAGGTCGGGGGCAAGAAGTGCTAGTGGCAGAGAGAGTTCCATTCCAGCAACAGATCATGAGCGGTAATCGCATCCCGCGAATTGAGCTCAGTCTCAGCTCGTCATTAGACCACGACGACGATCAGTTCTGCGTCGCCGGACTGACCACCACGCACCCTCCCTCCCTCCCTGCCTGTAATCCGAGTGTTATCGCAGTGAATGATGTGAGGGACACCAATTTTGCCAGAACTGGGTTTGTTAACCCAGAGTCGCTGGTCTGCTGAAGTAGTAAGGTTCTGATCGAACCTCGTGCCTCTCAGTCGATGCACTGTGTAGTTTCTGAAATCCGATGGAACCGCCATGATTAATTGAACCTAAGTATGTTAAGTCCACGATGTGAAGGATACGATTGCAGGGCCGAATTGCTGTTCCGCTTCGAACTGTAAAATACGTGCTCATTGTATACCATATATGCTGTCGCATCCCACGACAGGTTGCTGGTGTGAATTTGCTTCCTGCCTAGCCAGCGATAAATTTGATCGCTGCACTGTACTGGCGAATTTGGTCACAATAAGCCGCCGTTATTGTAGAGTTTACAATGTCCGAGTGTGGTCAATTTACCTCCCATCGACAGAAGTCAACATTCTCGATAGCTGAATTGTAGAGGGAATGAAGTGTTGCAGACGGTGGCCTTACTAATCGCATGTCCTATCGTCAGACAGTAAGTCCGAGCACGGTTAATATCCTTTGTATATGTGTTTGGGTTTTAGTTCCTGGAGTGCAAGTCTGACTGGCCAGTGAATAATGTTCTATTTTACAGCGCCGCGGTGCAGTCCTATGCGAAATTCGTTGTTGCCAAGCAGGATGAGCTCTTGGCGACCACTCTGGAGACTGGGACTTACAAAAAGCTCTACAGTTTTCACTACCTCCTCAATGGCTTCTCTGTACAGATGTCGCCTGACCAGGTAACACATTGTCTACACGCAAGATGCCTGGCCCAAAGGGTTCGTCAGAACTACCAATCTACATTTTGCTTAATCATTTCGTAATCAATTTGCATGCCAATTTCGCATTATCTCGTCTTGAGAGTCGTCAATGTGCACTGTCTGTGCAGGCTAGAATTCTGGCAGCTACCGATGGAGTACTCCAGGTTGAACAAGACTTGAAGGTCCAAAAGATGACCACTCATACCCCAGACTTTCTTGGTGTCAGTGGCGGTGTGTGGCCTCGCGTGGGTGGATATCAAAACGCAGGAGAAGGCGTAGTTATTGGAATCATCGACACGGGTATAGATCCCACTCATCCAAGCTTTGCCAGCAACACAGATCGACCATACGGCTACATTGAGGGTTTCTCTGGAACCTGTGAAGAAGCTCCTGAGTTTCCCAAAGGTTCTTGTAACGGCAAGATTATTGGAGCCAGACACTTCGCTGGAGCTGCTATAGCCGGCGGAGACTTCAATGCTTCTCGTGATTACGCATCTCCATTTGATGCCGATGGACATGGAAGGTGAGTAATGTAGGTTCCCAGTCTCTTGGCTGAGCCAAGAGATTAAGCTTGAGCATTGTGTCTAGATCTTTCAGGTTCTGTAGTCCACCGTGCATGTCTTCCCTCGATCGCTTCTTCTGCCTTAGATCTCCTCCTTACAGCTTACTGGAATAATTTTTAGTCACCGGTACTTCAACATTCCCAGGATTGAACTGAGTTAACACAGTGTTCTGCTTGCCTCCTCCTTTGCAGCCATACTGCCGCAACTGCCGCAGGTAACCACGGTGTGCCAGTTGACGTAAAGGGATACAACTACGGATACGCCAGCGGCATGGCTCCTCGTGCTAGGTAACGCCTTCTCTTTAGAATCTTATCTCAAGAGTAGTTGGCACATTTACGGCTGGTGTCCTCGCAGACTTCAGGATTTTGAGAATCGGAGAATGTATTGACTATAGAGTCCTCTGCCTACTAACTTTTTATGTAGTTTGTCTGATGATGCTTATGCTCGCTCAAGACCAGCCTTGAGAATGTTACGGGGTTTAACAAACCCGTGTCTGCATCAGTTGACCAAAGGATACTGAGGGTGGCTAGCTTTGATATGCAGGATTGCAGTCTACAAGGCGCTGTACCCTTTTGGAGGGTATATCTCAGACGTTGTTGCAGCTGTCGACCAGGTAAAGCATAGCATTCAGTGAAATGGATTTGCTATGTAATTTTCAGTTACTTCAGCTTCCTTCATTTCTTTCCATTTTTTGTTCCAGGATAGTCCAGCCAGCAGTGGTACCTGATATTATCCCACCAGTTTTGTGTTTGCTTACTTTAAAGTCTCATTGCCAGTGACTCTGCTCGTGGCGTTCTCTGCGTAGAAAAAATAATTTCTCTGCTGTGATGTATTTGTGGTCACTGAGTTCCAAATTACACTGAGCTTAGCAAGGACCAACTACACAAGTATCTACCATCGTTTCATAGGTGTGTTTGTCCATACCACAGAATACACGATTATCGACTCTTTCGGTACATATTGCTGACTGAACTCTTTACCGACGTGTGCACAGGCTGTCCAGGACGGAGTCGACATTGTTAGTCTTTCATTAGGGCCCACGAGCGCTCCACCCGGAGTTTCCACATTTCTCAACGTCTTTGATGTTGAGCTTTTGTTCGCGGTGAAAGCCGGAGTGTTTGTGGCCCAAGCTACGGGGAACAGTGGACCAGCCCAAACGAGTATTCTTTCATTCAGTCCATGGATTACATCGGTGGCTGCGAGTATCACTGATAGATCATACTCCAATACTATAGTTCTCGGCAATAGTTACTCCATCAAGGGAGTGGGTCTTTCTCGTAAGTACCTCATACCCTGCTTCACCGGCTTTGCTGATTTAGTGACTTTTAATGTGTTGTGTTCTAGATTTGTTAGAGTTGTATCAACAACTCACACGGTCTTCTCGGTTGTTTCAGCACCCACTCCGAACTCCAGTCCCATCCGAATGGTATCTGCTTTAGATGCCTTTGCGGGCAACAGCTCATTTGTCAATGTGGATGAGTGCCAGCAACCAGGAGCATTCAACAGAGATTTAGTGCAGGGAGCAGTTCTCCTGTGCGTTTACTCCTTCAGTTTCGAGTTTGGATCTGCTTCAGTGAAGCAGGTGGCAGATACTGCTAAAGAATTGGGCGCTACAGGTTTTGTCTTGGTGGCCGATCCTCAATTAGGTAGCGCATCTAAAGCAGATCCGTCTCCACTTCTGATACCTGGCATAGTGGTGACAGATCTCAACGCTTCTTTGGTGAGTATAATTCAACTCTGATTTGAATTTGGGTTGAAAGTTGCAGTACTTAATTGAGAACTCAACAGAAGATAACCCCTTTAGCACAGGAGTGCAGCAACAGGAAGTTTCCAGAACCATCGGGCGCTTCATATTTACATATTTTCTGTTTGCCTTTTCTTCAGGCAATCTTGAGATATTACAATGAATCCACCATCAGGGATGCAACCGGTTCAGTGAAGAGCTTTGGAGCTAGTGTCGTTATCGGAGATGGGCGCGACGCAGCGTTTGGATCAGTAGCACCAGTAGTTGCGACTTTTTCCTCTCGAGGACCTGATATTCTTAACAGCCAATCCCAGCTGGCAGACGTTTTGAAACCTGACATCATGGCACCAGGCTATCTAATTTGGTCGGCTTGGAGCCCAAGAGGTGCTGACGAAAGCAACTTCTACGGTAAATATCCTACATCATGACACATTGCTTTGTATCGTAGACCTTCTGAATTTAACGTGGTGCAGGCGGGGGGATGGCTTCTTACATCACAGTAGCAAGTTAAGGCTCCTAGCTTCAAATTCTTCGTGTGTATTCAAACAGACTGCCTACTGAAAGTATCGCTTGTCCTATACACGTAGAGGGATGTCGGGGAGACTACTAATTGTTCTGTCATTTTTCCTTACTTTCAGGAGAAAGGTTCGCTATGCTTTCCGGGACCAGTATGGCTACCCCTCACATCGCCGGAATCGCAGCTCTTATCAAGCAAGCTCACCCTGAGTGGAGTCCTGCTGCCATAACATCGGCCCTGATGACTACGGCGAATGTATATGACAAAGACGGGAAACCCCTCCTAGCTCAAAACCCCACTAGTAATTTCTCATCTTCCATTGGACCCGGGACGGCCTTCGACTTTGGAGCTGGTTCGGTGAATCCCACAAATGCTCTTGACCCGGGTCTCATATTCGAAGCAGGTGAGGATAAGACAGATCTACATAGCACGCTAAGTTTCTCGTGATGTGTGGCTAGCTAGATGTTCGGGCTTGTGCTTGTACTTAGAACTGGCTCTACTCAGTATCTTAGAAATTTTACACCTGATATATCCGCTGTTTTTTTGTGAACTCGTCCTGTACGTCACATTTGCCTGGCATGTTTTTTACTGTGTTTCTATGTTTTAATGGCTCTCTGTCGACATCTTGGCAGCTTTCGAGAACTACATCGACTTCCTATGCGTTGTTCCAGGAGTCGACCCTGCTTCAGTTCGTGACTCCACGGGTGCCGCGTGCGGGACCAAATCTCTGAGCTGGGCCTCGGACCTCAACAAACCGTACATCACCATTGCCAATTTAGTCGGTTCTAGAACTGTCACCAGAACCGTGACGAACGTACACTCAGAAACTGAAACTTACAAGGTTTCCATTGATCGTGAACCGCCCGGTGTTGCAGTGACGATCAATCCCACTTCCTTTACTGCCAAATCCGGTGAAACCATCCCCCTCTTCATCACCCTCAGGGCCACCACGAGCACTACCAATGTCTTCAGTTTCGGTTCAATCGGGTTGACTGGGAGTTTAGGGCACTACATCCACATGCCCCTTTCGGTGTCTCCGAACTCTGCTGTAAGCTAGGCCAATTTTTTCACCGATATATTTTTGGTTGGGAAAGCACTCTCCAGCTAGTTGTTAACAGCTGGGCCAGTTTGGCAACAGGAGACAGGGTGTTTTTCAGTGAACCGTGTACACTACTAATTGGCGAGTAGGATACCATGAATGAGTCAGTCAACCCTTCTAACCATGCGGGTAAAGTAGCAAAGTCTATAAAGGTAGAATCCAGATGCAGTGAATAAATCCTTCCGTTATCAATTTATGCACTCCAAATTCAATAAAGTACAAGTAGACGATCACTTTCATTTCCATCCCACCTGCACTTTTACTCTTTGTTTTTGTATACTCTCCTTTGGTCACGAGCCAGGAGGATTTTCAACCCATCCTTTCATGGATCCTTGTATGTCTTACAAGTTATACCAGGTCTTGCTTTGAAGATGTGAAGGAGAAGTGAAAGAAACCACCGCGTGCAGTTCGAATTGGGTGCAGTTTTATATTCGAATTGGGTGCAGAACTTGAATCCACTCGACTGTTGACGTATTAAGTGCCCATGTGTTGATGGCAGAATTATAGCGGACTATCGTAAACTTTGTTGAGACTATTCTCGATTCAAATTGTTCTAAGATATGGACCTATCCTACAGACGACGTACTGGTGGAAAACGTCCATGGACACTTCTCACATTTCTTCTTCCCCGAGCAGCAGACTTGTCTAAAACCTGTTATTTCTTGTAAATGTGATGTATAGTACGCTGTAACAGTCAAACAGGATAGCACTAACCCATTATTGCACCTGTTTGGGAATATGCTGTTTATGAGTGATCACAATCACCACGACGTCAAGGAAGCGTTGAGTAAACGGTAACACCATATGGTCGTTTGGGGCAACTAACACTACTGTAGTGATCCCTGTCAATCTGCAATGAAAGTTTATATCAGGAGGTTTAGCATTCCCCTCTTCGAAATGATTGCAGTTTCAGGCTTTTCCTGGGCTGCTGACGGTGCATGATGGTTGACTCCAATAATTATATGGTCATTCATTCCTATTATTTCCAATCAGGTGTAAGCTAAGTATAGGAATCCACTCCCTTAAGAGGCGGACACAGTAAAATAAAGAACTGGAAGACTCGTAAAATCGTACAAGAATCTACTAAGTCGGACGCCCAGGAACCTACGGCCCTCTGTCCACAGTTACAAATTATTGAGCAGAGTTGTGCATTTTCTAGAGCTGGCTTTCGTACATGTTTCGACAACGGATCCTTTGCTTCATACACAAGATAGAGAGTTTTACGATTTCATATATTGGGCGAACTAACATCAAAATTTTGAAACTATGTTGTACTGTCATGATCAAACCCCTGGTGCGGATGTTCTGTTATCTTGCATAGTGAGACATATTCTGCACGGTGAAACGTTTTTTTATGTATTTTTCTCAAGATTAGTGCATCAGATGCAGATCACAAGGAGAGCTGAATTCGCTCCTTGCAGTCTGCCTCTGCTAGGTGTGACATATTTGAGGCTTGAAAATATACTAAAGGAATAGTTAACATGACCTATGTTACCCTTCTATTTTCAGAGTTCAGTTGACAAATATTTGTTCAATGACATGGTGTGACCTTCTTGACATGATCTAACAAATTTAGATGTCAGATGTTCAGGGAGCTCATCCTGGGTGAGTGGTGATTGTCGTGTCAGTATTGAATAGTTTGTATGAAAATATACAAGACTCTCACTAAAACACCAAGGGTCTTGGTGCTGACCTTCAACTTTGACAACTCCAAAACATGGCTCTACGGTTGCATGCTTAACAGACTGTCGTTCCTCATGATACTAAACAACGTCTGTTTCAAAGCCAATTTGAGAAATCAAGGACCCTAGAAACCAGTATTCACCAGTATACACTTCTAAGAAATTGTAATGAATCCAGACACCTTAAAGATAATGTAGCTGAACACGGTATTTCCTGTATATCGCAGAACAGTGCATATAAGACGACATGCAGATGAATGATATTTGGTGTATGAAATATTGATTGTATATTTTGTTCTTGTGAAGCATTGGTAGAGATATTTATTGAAATTATCTGAATCAGCTGTAAGAAAATAATTCATCCAGCTAATTTGGCTCATCTTTGTTAATAAGTAGCATTAAGCAGCTCCTGCCCACAGTACGAACATTATCATTACTGTGGGGTTCAGTCAGATCAACCTGGGCCACTCATGTCGTATCCTTATAATGACAAATCGTCTTATGATTCACCAAAACTCATGAAGCACTAATATGATGTTGAAGAAGCTAAGGTATGCACAGAACTCACTGTGTGGAAGTAAAGCGTTAAAAATGCTTAATGAAAGACGATAATTATATATTGTAACACCAGTAGGTTCTTGAGAACTACTCCTATGCTATGACTAATATGAAGAGTCACCAACTACACAAATAGCTTCTTAAGTGAGGTCTAACTATAGCAGTGAACTATAGCAGAGATGATAACTTCCAACGGCTAGGCTTCCGCAAGGTAAAGTAAAATACATTTTATTGACGGGTAAAAGGTGATAGTAACGGGTAAATGTATAAAGCTAACCAATGGGTAAATGTAGGGTAGAGTAAATGTAGTGCCAATTTACCTACCCCTTTACCGGGGATTTACCCGTTAACTTGGAGGCTTGGTTAATTACACAATTGATTACGGCTTGGTTAATAGGCGGCATTTGTTAACGTCTTGATCAACATCTTGATTCTTGATTCAAGAATCAAGATGATGATCTGTCTTTGTTATTTACTGTGTAGCTTGATACAGACAGATTTGGAGAAGGGTGTAAGTGGAACGAGGCATGGGATTGAGGTCGTTGTGTATTTGTGGCAGATCCGGAGTTGGAGGGGCAGTGTTCCAAGTTTGTGCTACTTTTGGGCTGGTGGCAAGGTTATGTTTGCTGCCTGTGCAGGAATGCGAAGTAGTGCTTCCGTGTTCCAACTTGGAACACAGAAGTAGCACACAGTTGCAACTTCCAAGTGTGTGCTACTTCTCGGCTGGTGGCAGGGTTATGTTTGCTGCCTGCCTGTGAAGTAGTGAGAAGTAGTATCTTTGTGTTCCAAGTCTGTGCTACTTCTCGGCTGGTGGCAATGTTATGTTTGCTGCCTGTGCAGGAGTGCAAAGTAGTACTTCTGTGTTCCAAGTTTGTGCTACTTCTCGGCTGGTGGCATGGTTATGTTTGCTGCCTGCGCAGTAGAGCGAATTAGTACTTTTGCGTTCCAAGTTTGTGGTACTTCTCGGCTGGTGGCAGGGTTATGTTTGCTGCCTGCGCAGTAGAGCGAATTAGTACTTTTGCGTTCCAAGTTTGTGGTACTTCTCGGCTGGTGGCAGGGTTATGTTTGCTGCCTGCGCAGTAGTGCGAAGTAGTACTTTTGTGTTCCAAGTTTTGCTTCTTCTCGGCTGGTCGCAAGGTTATGTTTGCTGCCTGTGAAGTAGTGCGAAGTAGTACTTTTTTGTTCCAAGTTTGTGCTACTTCTCGGCTGGTGGCAGGGTTATGTTTGCTGCCTGCCTGTGAAGTAGTGAGAAGTAGTATCTTTGTGTTCCAAGTCTGTGCTACTTCTCGGCTGGTGGCAATGTTATGTTTGCTGCCTGTGCAGTAGTGCGAAGTAGTTCTTCTGCCTCTGCTGCTTCTGCTGCTAGGGGAGAGTTGTGAGAATGAGTGCAACACCGGTTGATGGACAGAATCCGTCTATCGTCATGAACGAAGAAAGTCTGAGTGATAAAAAATCAAGGTGAGTGACCTCATCCTCTGCAAGTTTCTTCGCGATACCCTTCAACCCGTGAATATGATCAAGCGTACCAAGAAGGCCGGAATCGTTGGCAAATACGGTACTAGGTATGGTGCGAGTTTGAGGAAGCAGATAAAGAAGATGGAGGTCTGTCAGCACTCCCAAGTATTTCTACGAGTTTTGCGGCAAGCTTGCTGTGAAGAGAAAGGCTGTCGGTATCTGGAACTGTAAGGATTGTGGAAAGGTGAAGGCTGGAGGAGCTTACACTTTGAATACGGCCTCTGCTGTTACGATACGCAGTACTATCAGGAGGCTGAGGGAGCAAACCGAGAACAAGTTGATTTCTTTAAATGATGGACAGCAAAGGATAATACCTGATGTCCTACATGTTCATCCTGGGAGAGGAGGAACATGTATTCATGGTATTCAACGACAGTTTTCTATTCCGGAAGAATCGTACTTTGATCGATTCAGTTGTCGCTATGTTGACACATTCCGGTCTTTCTCTTTCTTTTGCCGAAGCCATCCATACTGCTGTTTACTTGCAGAATAGATCTCCATCGAAGGCTCTACCCGACGACAGAAGCCGGATCTGCGCCACTTAAAAGATTTTGGATGTACTGCCTTTGCACATATTGAAAAAGGCCATCGGGGTAAGATTGACCCCAAGAGTGTAGAATGTGTTTTCCTTGGTTATTCTCCTACAGCCAAAGGATATCGGTACAGCGAAAAGACACTAAGATTATTGAGAGGAGATCTGTCAAATTTATGCCTCTTGCGGTTCACCATCATCAGACATCAGTTGTTCCGCCTGCTGAGCAAGAAGGTTTTACTCCCTTTCGCCCTTTACCATAAGCTTCACCGACTGATCCAGTTCGCAGTTCTCCATCCGACGACATTACCAGCAGGACGGTCACCAGCAGTGGGAGAATTCAGTCCGGTTACACCACCTGGAGTGATCAATCACCTGGAGTGGTACCGCACCTTCCACTTCCTCCTTTCGTTGATACGGTTCGCAACCTCGAGCACTTACTGGACTGGGTGAGCACTTACTAGGTGACACCCAGTAACTGGGTGACCTCACACTTCAAGACACTACATCTGACGCCCCAGCTACAGATACAACCAGAGGGCAGCTTCATCCTCTTCCCGCACCATCGATCCTATCTTTTGAAGGGGTAAAGAGTAAGGAAACGTGTAAGGGAAAGAGAAGAAGAAGACTCGAGGTTTATTTTCGTATGTAGAAACTCACAAAGAACCTACTACTTATCAAGAAGCTTTACAGGATGGTGACTCTATGGAATGGGAAGAAGCTATGGAAGATGAATTTTCTTCTTTGAAGAAAAATCAAACCTGGACATTGACATAGTTACCTGCGGGCAAGAACGTCGTTGGCTGTAAATGGATTTATAAAATCAAATACAAGCCTGACGGTTCTGTTGATTGGTACAATGCCAGATTAGTAACGAAATGATATTCAGAGGTTTATGATGTTGACTTTTCAGAAACATTTTCTCCTGGGCTGAAGATGACATCAATTAGGGTGTTAATGGCTCTAGCAGCTGAAAACAATTTGGCGCTGCATCAGATGGACGTGAAAACTGCATTTCTGAATGGACTATTGGATGAAGAGTCTACATGGCTCTTCTTGAAGGGTTGAATATCTCTTTTGAGAAAAACATGGTATGCAAACTGAATAAGTCCATTTATGTACTGAAACTATCCTCACGACGGTGGTATCAAAGGATTGACTCTTTCTTACTGCAGATTGTTTTTACCAGAGCTAATGCAGATAAGAATGTTTACATATACTCTCAAGAGAATACATTTGTGTATTTAGCACTATGTGTGGACGATTGTATACTACCGAGTGATTCCTTGCGTCTTCTTACAAATATCAAGGAGAAACTTAAATCAGCGTTCTATATGGTGGACTTAAAAGAGATCCATCATTGTCTTGGTATGCAAGTGAATAGAAGAAAAAGAAGTGAAGAAGGGTGGATTCGGATCTCCCAACCACGATATTTGGTTGAAAAACTTGCGAGATTCAACATGTATGACTGTAAGCACATTGATACACCTATAGAACCTGGTTTGACTCTCCCTATTCAGTGGGAGAAAGTAGAGATATAAAATATATACCAAATCAAGCTGTTGCTGGGAGCTTGATGTGGACGATTGTCTGTACTAGACCCGATATATCTTAGGCTGTTTGTTAAGTGGCTCAGTTCATGTCAAATTCTGGATTGATAGACTGGAAGGCAATTAAGAGGATTTTCATATATATGAAAGAAACTTTCGATTTTGGTCTTGTGTTTACAAGAGTTGATGAACCATCGAGTTTGATTAGATCTTCTGATGTTGGACGTATGAAATTGTATGGATGTTGTTGTAGATAACATCATTGTCTGTGGTGTGATCCTATGCGCTTCTGATGTTTAGCGATTCAAGATAATTGTATCCATGCTCATTAATAAATACGTGTTGTCGTCAACGCAAACAATTTTGAGTCGAATCATGGAGCTCTACCGCATCTTGATGCCCACGTTGGAATTATTCTTAAGCAAATTCGGCGTTGACTTCTCTCTGACATTGGATATTGGTCAAATCAATTCTCAAATACTTCTATGTGATTACCGCATTCTGAATTTACATTGAAGCGCTGTCATCAAAGAGTATTTTACTCACGATTTTGGATGTAGCATGAGGTACAGGCGTTGGTCGACACATTAGAACTTACTTTTTTGAACACATGAAACTATCGGCACCGGGTTCCTTACGATGGTTGGATGTGGTCAGCGACAATGTCTCCAACACTATCGATGTAGTCTAGCTTCTATTCCAATTCATCAATGCATTAGTTGGATATTAGCAAATGTTCAATTGCAATCACGTGCGTTTTGCCAATCGTTTGATTCAACTTGCTGTTGTCAAATTATTCATTTTCACAAAAAAATTCAACGGAGACGTTAGGCGACGCGCTCATCAAGATTTGTCACAGCAAGGTGATGCGACAATAATATTGCTTGGAGACGACGGCTGTTGACTTCAACAGCAAGTAGCGAACACTAAGATTCTTCAACGCGTTGGAATTGCACGCATCCGATGGAGGTCGACGCTTTTGATAAATGTGTTGTCATGAAGTATCATGAAGCAATTTGCAAGTGACATCGGTGATCCTACTCTAAGTGATAATCAATGGCAGGTGATCAAAGACGTGACTATCTTTCTACGCGCATCGCGCCTGATCATGCAAAACCTTATTGAGATCATAGGCCGACGTTTGACTTGCTGACGTTATTCATTGTTCATCTTGTGAAGCATTGCAAAACGAATGAAATGCAACTGTTGACGATCAATTCTAAAATTACGGTAACCGGAATGCGGAAAAAGGTTGAAGATTATGAAATACTGTATGTGTTAGAACCCGTCATAGTTACAGCCTACCTCAATTTGCAGATATCAAATCCATCTAAACTTGTGCAACTCAAGAAGTTGACCGATCTCATTCCATCCATTCTTCAGCGCCGCCACTCGATTGAGTTGTAGTCTCACAATTTGACTATTGAGTCCAAAGAGTCGACTAGTACGTTTACATGGCCATGTTCCAGCTAGAGAACGGTAATAGCAAACTCAATGAGGTAGACTAATTCCTATCAATTGGAGTAGTACAATTTAAGGATTTTATCGACATCTTATCTTGATGGTCATTCCGCATGAAAACCTTGCTTGCCCACTATCAGATGGCCATGAATTATCTTGAGACGCAGGAAACATAAACACATTTTAGCATGTCAACATCGTCACTGGTTGCGAGTTTATCAATTTCCAACAGTTGTCATCGGTGTTTATCATGACCATGTGCATGCCATCATGGATGGATGCAAAGATACTCAAGATGCCGGCAAACCGAGCGGCAGTAGTTGCGGTAATTGCATCCGCTAACAAAGAAGACTTCACCAATAAGATTGAAGACTTCGTCAATCAATTGAATATTGAAGAAGAAAATTGATATAAGAAAATCCTCGATGACGGCATCGTGTAGATGCTCAACGATTAATCTGAAGAAATGATCTTTAAAGCAAACTTGAAGTGAAGTAAACATTGTGAAAATTGTGTTAGTAATTAGACATCTGTATTTTTTAGTCTTATTGGAGTAATTACTGGATTAACAGGTAAAATAAAGATAAAGCTATGTGTAAAGCATGATCATTGTGGTAAAGGTTGGAGTAAAATAAAGATAGAGTAGGTTTTATTACCTGTTAAATTTTTATCTTACCTTGCCAAGACCTATCAATAATAGCTCTTACTCCAACGTACCTTCTTAGTCTAATGGTAAGTTTTTGTCTCTTGATGAAATAACTATAAAGAACTTTTAAGAACAATCCTGTGAATGGATTTTTTTTTGATATTAGTGTGCAACTTGTGAACACTAAAGTACTTGTTAATGATGGTGAAGATATACTTGACAGTTCAAAGCTTCTTGGATTGTGTAAATTTCTAATCATAATTCACTAATAAAATGGGGAATCATATTCCTATAATGAAATTCTAAACTTTAATCTATCTCTCTGTCTTTAACTTGCTTCTTCGTCATGCTTCTGTAAGCGTGTAGCTTGATTGCTCTGCAATAGATATACTCAACAAGAATATTGTCCGCTTCAATCTTTTGGCGGTAGAAGTGCCAATCAACTTCAAAATGCTTTGTTCTATCGTTGAACATAAAGTAGTTTGCAAGTTTTATGGCGCTTTGATTGTTCATTGATTGGAATAGGATTGATAGAATAGCATTCAATTTTGTCCATTAGTTCTTGAATACAAATAGCTTTCATTGCATAGAGATTAAGAGGACGATATTCAGATTTGAACATGGATCAAGTTGATGAACTTTATTTCTTGCAATTCCAAGACACTGGTGATGAATCAAGCGTGAAGATATAGGCACAAGTTGATGAACTTTATTTCTTGCAATTCCAAGACACTGGTGATGAATCAAGCGTGAAGATATAGGCACGTGTGAAGATGAGGTCGTCTAAATCTGTTGCATGTAGCTTGACTTCCTTGCCATTGATGTAAAAAATGCCAAGAAAAAGATAAGACTAAATGTAGCAAGAAATACCCTTGAGGACGTTTAGATGCAACACTTGAGATTTTGTGCATATAACGATTGACGTATGCAATGTTGGGTATCGTGAATGTGAAATACAAAAATTTGCCTACAAGCCTCATCTACAATGACATCAAGAGCAGATGTGATGACGTGTCTCGACAAAGGCGAAGTTCTTCATTAAGTTGGATCAAGCTTGGACGACGGTCATCAAAGGAGAATTCAGCTAACATGAAGCAATTCAAACAATGCATACGGAGCTTGATGCAGTATTAATTTTCTTGGAGTGTGTACAAAGTGAACACGAAAGTATTTAGAGATTATATCTAGATTGGTCATGGCAAACTACTCCATGAGCACGACAACAAGATCATGTAAGGTAGAGGTAGTCCAGATCGGCAAGAGTATATCATCTTGATAAAAGATAGATATTTGTATCAACTTGACTTTTCTGAAGCCCTCGGTTGCGGAGTGTATCATTGATGAGATGGTACTATGCTCATGGATTTTGATATAGAACATAAAGACTTTGCTTCAACTTGTAAACGTCACGATGGCGTACTAAAAAAGTGAAACCAAGAGGTTGTTGCATGTAGATTTACTCTTCAAGAACATAGGGTAGAAAAGCGGTTTAGACAATAACATTTTGTAAAAGAAAGATATTTGTATCAACTTGACTTTTCTGAAGCCCTCGGTTACGGAGTGTAACATTGATGAGATGGTACTATGCTCATGGATTTTGATATAGAACATAAAGAGTTTGCTTCAACTTGTAAACGTCACGATCGTGTACTGAAAACGTGAAACCAAGAGGTTGTTGCATGTAGATTTACTCTTCAAGAATATAGTGTAGAAAAGCGGTTTAGACAATAACATGACGTATGAATCACTTTTGATGGGTAGCAAATGCAGAGAAAATGCTAATTGTCTATCCGCGTACAATAATACCAAAAGTATCACCGTAATCAATGTCGTATTGTTGTTGAAATCCATGAGCTACTAGTCTTGCATTGTGTTGCGGTGGTTGACCGAGTAAGCCAAACTTGAACTTATAGATCTATCGAGCATTGATTGCAAGCTTGTCAGCGGGAGAGTCATGAGATCTTAGTTCTCATTCCGAAGGATCGATGAGTATTTTTCTTCCATGGATGTAATTTAGTTTGTGTCATTGCAAGTTCTTGTCCTCGTCAAATAGGTGATTAGTTTTGGCATCGGCTTTGATAACAACAATGTAGGCGTCAAAGTGTCAAGATGCTTGACAAGACTGTATGAATCCTTGAGGCAACATAGGAAGAAAAGATGAATCGCCACTTGCTTGAGATGTGACACAGTTTGAGAGCTGCAGCCGAACATGAGATGAGACAATTAAGTGTGCACTAGGCAAAGATTGTTGCGCAACTCTTGTGGAGATGAATGCGTATGACAATGATTGCAAAGCTTTGTCAAGATCATGACGATGTTGTGGCTAGTAGAGCTATGGAATCAAAGTGCCAAGAAGACAGTAAGATACCACTAGTGATATTGTAAAATCAATGGGATTACTACCTGAATTTTTGGAAAGACTAGCAATGAGTTGGCTAGTTTGCTCATGTTGTGGTGCTGCAGCTTCGTGAGGATCTTGGAACTGCAGTGATGCCGTTGTAGGTAGTTGAACGGTCGGGGCTGCAATGTGATTAGTTGATATTGTAATTGAGGAAGGAAGAAATGAGTTCAAATCGTCAATGACCATTAGCTCAAGTTGTGAAGATACAAATATTTGCACAACACAAAAAACAATAACATAACATGACAAACTATGACATGAGTTTCATGCTCATAGCAATTGTAGTCTTTTGCACAATTGTCAAAGCTGAGGAAGATGCATTAAGTTGAATGTGAATCAAGCTTTAGTTGACGGAGACAACGTTGATGAATGAAAATTATACTTCCCATCTTGAAGATGAGAGACATATGATTTTATTCTGGAGATCAACTCGTTGGATGTTACGTCATGCATATGTTTGGAGCTACTAATGTTGTGAATTTCACAAGGAGCAGGTACCACTTCAGTTGAGAATTTTACAAGGAGTAGTACCACTACTTGTAAAATGATCTACCCTTACCAAAGATGGTTGGTTAGATTTTTGTCAAGCAAAAAGTCATCGTATAATGTACAACAAAGAGCGTTTGCACCGTTCGTCAACGTCATTGTGCTCAAAATCATAAGAGACAATTAACATTTAATGTCATGGTCAAACCAATATGCTTCATACATCCAAGAAGTAAATTCGCGGCCATTGTTTGTGCGTAACATAAAAATAGACCATTTGTATTGAGCTTCAACTGCTCAATGAAACCTGCTTGAACTTGTCAATTTTTTTGTCAAGTCAACACATGAATAAAACCCAACAAAAAACTTGAGTAGTCATGAATAAAAGTAATAAAGTATCGCGTATCTTCTAACAACAAAGATCCCAGTGAATAAGTTCTAGTGGTATAGAAGCGTGACTGGTGTACTGTTTTGTAATTCTTCACATCATATCATTGTAAAACAAAATTGGGAGTGAAAATATCAAAATATAGGGCTAAAAAAATTGTAATCTCTTTTATAGTTTGATTTTGACTTTATATGAAACAATCAATTTCAGCTTTAGCATATTCCTAAAAAACGAATATATCTATTAGAAAACAAAATATTCTTTATCTATTGTATAAACTATTTTGGAAATCAAATCAATTTCTTTGTAACTTTGATGTGTAAAACTTGACAAGGTACATTAGAGTCAAATATGCTTTAGCCATTTAGGTTGAAAAGATATTCTGAGCAGTTGACAACACAAACCATAAACCCTATTTGACTATCATGTTCTGAGGTATCAAGAGGAGAACTTACCTTAACTAAATCTCCGAAGCGTAGCGGGCGAAATTAGAAGATACTAGAATTAAAAGCTTACCGGTAGCCTATTAAACAGATATGGTATGTGCGGCCGATAGGTCTGTTGTATCTAACGCGTCGAAGGCCCAAACTTCCTTTACCATTGTGATACCGAAATCTAGATTTCATCAATTAACGCTTTTTTGAGCCTTTAGTGCGAGTGCGCTCTTCTGCGTGAAATGAAAGATTTGACTACTTCCTCGCAGTTCGTGGGACCAGAATCTGCAATAGGACACGCCATCTTCCACGTTTTCTGCCATTCGAAGAATTTTACGTGCACATGGTGGGGAACATTCTGCAAATTTCATCTCCGACTGTTTGGTCAACAGACGTCTCTTATGTCCACGCATTCACGCATCCGTCAGCGACGTGCGGGTGATACTTTGAACTCTCGCGGACAGAAGGTAGTACGACGGCTGTGCCTGCAAACGCTGACCTACAGCAAAGGACGTATCCTTCAGGAGGCTGGAACCCCGTGAAGTAACAAACCTTCTCGATAGGCATCCGTGCTCCAGGTAAGACATTAATACAACAGCCCGTTCAAAACAGAACGTTGTGAATTGAGCGATTGTATTCTCAAATCGTATGCTTTGTTTTCGACTATCTAAGCAAATTCGCACCGTGGTATTGATACGGGTCATACGGTGTCAGGAATGGTCGATTGATCGCAAATTTTCCCGAGAACAGGTGTCGAGGAGCGTCGGGACACTTGGAGAGAACGAATTTGTTAAGAATCTGCAGCCACCTTTCTCGAGAGAGCAGCCATCTCGCAGCTGCCCTGCTCTGTTCAGGAGGAATTTCGATCTGGTATCAACGAATTGTATGTTTTTGAACATTTGAACATGGGTCGTGCCAAGAACGAGCAAGCGGAGAGCCCAAGTGGTCGGACGCAGGAGCAGACGGAGGAGGGTGGGGCCTGGCACGAAATGGCGATGGAAAGAGTGCTCTGGTCAGGGGAGGACATCAAGAAGCGCGTCTCGGAGCTGGCCGAACAGATAACGAGAGACTTTTCTGGCAAATCGCTGGCCGTGGTCGGGGTAGCGACGGGAGCAGTCATTTTCGTGGCGGATCTGGTTCGCGAAATCCAGATTCCCGTCACGTTAGACTTTGTGCGGATGAAATCGTACGGAAACAGCACGACCTCGAGCGGCAAGGCGACTTGCATCGCGGACATTAGCATCGACGTCAAAGATAAGCACGTTCTGTTGGTGGAGGATATCATCGACACGGGAATCACAGTCTCGACTCTCGTTGCCCACTTCGGTGTCAAGGAAGTTGCATCCTTCTCCGTGTGCACACTTCTGGATAAACCGTCGAGACGAATAATCCCCGTCCAACTTATACCTGGTGGCAAATTTTACCGTGGGTTCGAATGCCCCGATGAATTTGTCGTCGGTTACGGGTTAGATTATGCGGAGCTGTATCGCAATGTGCCATACATCGGTGTGCTCAAGTCACACGTTTATTCCTGAGACCTCGAAACCAGCCCTGGATTGAGTCATCTCCAGAGCATTTGATGCATTCCAATGAATCCATCGTCAGTAGCAGAAGCCCATGGATGTACGTATTTAAATTTCTTTAACCCTAAAGTTCCTGCTTATACAGCACACACCTTCACTTGGACGAATTTTGTAGGTGAGTAGTCGGAGTGCACGTTGCTGCGGCATAAAAATATTGGTCAACAGTTGAGTGTGTTGGTAGCACCCAATGTGTAGAACGAATAGATGGTCAGCTGAATATGAAAGATTTGAGAAAGTCGCATTCACGACCTTCTCGTGTACGTACGTGCATGCTTGCAACATTTCTCAGTTGACTGGCTGACCACTCGCTCACTGACATCGATGTTCACGCAAGGCACATCCTGGAAATTGTAACACCACAATTTCGTCTGCAGTTGAGAGTAACCGATTGGAGTCAAAGTATTTGAGCGCGCCTTACATTTTTTACTGCCGGTTTCTTCTTGTACCGCTCCGTCAGTGACTTCTGAGGACTTGCTGAAACACCCACAACCGACTTTTGACTTTCATACCGTCGTCGTCGATCACTGTCATTTGTTACACAGACCTTGGCAATAAATAATGCTTCATTGTACTCAGACATCGCCACTCACCAATTCCACGCGATAGCATGCCCAAAGCACGTCCTCTTGTTGTCCAGTCATTTCAGATTGTCAGGGTTGCGACAACGACGGTCAGTCAAGGACTTCCAGTCTGCAACACGGAAAAGCCGACGAGGAAACTCACTTCTCTCGAAGTGAAGGTGAGTTTCTCTTTCTGGTGAGTCTCATATTCATCTGTTCTCCGTTGTAATGCTGATGGTGTCGTTTATCTGCTAATTGTGATGCTGATGTAGCCATGCAGAACGGACGCGACAGAGTTCGGGTCTGCTCGACTGTCCTTTTCTTACTGCTAGACCTCCGGCTCCAGGGAGGGAGGGAGGCTCACTACGGTTTAAGAGAATCACAAGAGCTCCGATAATGGTATGATTTCTTCTTATGTCCGAGGGAAACAAAACACTCCAACATTGAAAGCCAACACGGGAACTTAGCTTCCAAGTCGAAACTCAATTAACGTGGCTGGGGAGTGACTGTGTCAGAGATACAAGAGAACTGCTGTTTAGTGTTGAGAGACAGAGTCAATACTGTTTAGACAGAGACTGTTGAGAGACTGAGACTTTCTCAAAGAACCCAATCTCGGATTTTCTGACCCAGCGCTGCTTCTGGAAAGGCTGGCACCATATATCTGGTTCAATCACGGGTTAATTGATCTTCTGCCATTGATGTTTGAATGAGCAGGCATAGAAGGTGATGAAGCTTGCTAATTCATTCTTGCCTTGATTGTATGTACTCTCCTTTATGTGTTCGTTGAGATGATTCACAGAACATTCCTAGGATTGAAATTAGCATAATAGACATAAGAAGAAGCAGCCCGCGCCATGGAGGATAGCACAGGTTGGGAGCTGTCAGACACAAGAGAGAGAACAAAACCGACACACTAGTTTCATATCCTAGGGGAAGTGGCAAAGACTATTAGACTACTGCCGCGCCTTTTGACACATGACTCGTGTAATGTGCCCCGGGAAGGACATGAGTTGCCGTAACTTCTTACTAGATTAGTCTGTTCTTTATAGAGGTAGAGAAGAGAAAAGGAAGGAAATGAGAATATTAGTATAATAAATATATGGTGATATAATATTTTATTTTAATAGATATATAAATTATAAATATAATCATACTATTATGGTGAAGTAGTTCATCACTTTATCATTTAATATGTGAGTTGGAAATTTGTAAATTTAACTCTATTATTAACTTAAATATTAAGTTTTTATTTAAATTTAAGTGTTTTCATTGAAATTTTTTTTAACTATATTCATTTTTTATGTTACTTTTTTTGTCATATCTTAATAGATCATTATTATTTTTTTATATATTTTAACTTATCAAAATATTATTATATGCGCATACTATTCATATGAAATAATATTTATTCAATTATTTGAAGTATTTAAATAATATAAAATTGAAAATTACATAAATAAACATTTAATCAGAACCAAATTAAATCTATTGTCAAGATAAATTCATAAAATATGGAGAAACAATAGTTAACAAAAATGAAAAAAACATTAAAATATACAATTCAAATAATTTGATATAAAATTTGTTTATATTGTAATTTTGATATATTTGCAAAATAAAATTCCATATATAGTTGATTAATATTCAGTACAAAATATGCAATTGAAAGAACAATCTTGATTATATATATATTTTTGAAGCGAAGATATTTGTTCAAAGTAAGAATATTGTATTCTAGTCAAATTTATATTATATTTTGAATAATTTTAATTAATATTTCATTATTGAATGATGACTTGAGAGTGTGAGTTGGAAAATCTTAACTTATTTACAATAATTTTTTTATCCGATTCTTGTTTTGTTGTTTAACATGTCATTTTTTATACATATCTTTAAGATATTTACAAGAAATAATAATTTATTTTTTAATATTATATTATTATTTTCTATCAAACAAAATTTATTGAAAATTTTTTTTACTTTAAAAGTACAGTTGAATAATATTAGAACTATCAATTCTCAAAGATATAATTTATCATTTTAAAAATAAAATTAATTTTCATAGTTCTTCATATGTGAAATTATTATTAATTTCATTATTATATTTTAGTAACTATAATATATCAACAAGCACGATTTAATTAGTAAATTTTTAACTTCTTAAAGTACATACAAATAAATTGTCAATATTACTTCAGATTTAAGATTTGATTCAATAATTAATATGAACTTAGTGATTAATTTAATATATTGTACATGAAGTTTACTATTTGTAAAGAGATATAATTCTTTCTAACCATCAATGTATTTGTATTATGTTTTTGAAAACTTTCAAATATATTTGAATTATCAATGGATATTATGTTACATTTTTTCATGTATTTTTTTTTAATATTTTGTTTGATAAATAAATGTAACAAGAACATGAATTTTTGACTTGATAATGTCAATATTTCATACACATTAAATAATTTAATACACTTAATTTTATTTAACAGTCACATATAAGGTTTATGTTAACATATTTTTATTAATTTTATTTAATTAACATCCATTACTTCCATAGCGAATACATATGAAATATTTAACTAACATATTTACTATTTTATTTCCAAACGTAGAAAATCTAATGTGAAAATTACGATAAATGCATTATAAAATAACTCAAATTTTTCTTGAATGAATTCTGTTATAATATTAACTGATTAATTACGGGTACAAACCATTACAATACCTTACCGCAAGAACTCAAGTTAAATTTGCTAGAGCATTGCTCTATTGCAATTTGATTCTAATAAGAAAAAACTTTTCATTATTTTATGATTTTGAAAATTTTATTTAAAATTCACCAATATTTTTGGCAACATTGACACAACAAATAAAATACATATTTTTTGGTAGTAACGTCATGTGTAGCTTTAATTTATACTACAGAATTTACATCATTATGAATGCATAAATACTTTCATTAAAAACTATAAAATACGGTCAAGAATTATTATTGAATCTTTTTTATCCAATCACGTTATCTAAGACTATATCGCAGAACATACGCTACGTCAATCAGCTCTTTGGATATCAAAATTGTATCAAGTCAATGTGAACGCATCAATGTGACAAATAAACACATCAATGTTCAAATTTATGTAACATTTTTGAACTTTTTCAATAAGTGTAATATTGTTTTCAAAAAATAGATTTGAGTCTATCTTGTGATGAAGTAATCATAATTGACATAGGAAAATTTCAACTTCAAAGCTTCAAAAACTTGAGTTTATTTTGGCAGTTTCTGTAGATCTTTGATCGGTTCGGATTGGATTCAATCTTCAATCCAATCCAAAACATTAAATAGGGTTTGGATCAATTTGGATAAAATCCATAAAATAATTTGGACAAAATCAAATTATTTGAATTATTCATTGCAAATCATTTCAAAACATTTTTTTCAAACATCATAGTATTCAAAATCAAAGGAGCGAGATAGTGACATAACGGATCAATCACATCACGTCCGTAATTGAAAATACGCTCTACGTTGATTAACGATCCCGATATGCATAGAAAGTGATTTGCAGTAGCACTTATTATGAAAAATTGTTGATCATGAACTTTCCAGTATTTGAACGGGTAGACGGTAAAATCTTCACATTGTAAGTTAAGTAGTTGACAATCTCAATTAACGTTTCATTATTTGCATTTCAATGAGTAAACATACTTAAAGATACAATTGGCTGTTGAGGTTTATGTGGGATAACTATTTCCCCTGCAATGATATTGTTGATGTCATGAAACATTCTTATATCATCAATAAACTTTTTCAACGACGTAATAATATAACTTATCGATTTTGGATATAAATAGTCAAATTCTTTTTGCTCAAGATGTATTTTTTGAATCTTGTGTTCAAGATTACATACACCATATAGAAATAAAAATCATCCATGAACGAATAGTACTTGGAGAGAACTTGTTGTGGAATAGACAAAATGTATTCATTGAATTTAGATCGTTGATAATAGATATTTTTATTTCAATATTCGTGAAAACTTTAACAAACACAAGCATTAAAAAAAAAACATTGGGTATTTTTTCCCTTATATCAATCTCGAGACCTCTTCAAATCTTTTCAAGTTAACACATGTGCTTTGAAATGTTCGCTATTCATCATCATTGCAATTGATTCACCTTGATACATATGATTTGAAGATCGGTACAGAGTCAATTTTTGATTCTGATGTGAACTTTAAATGTTCTTTCAATCATGTAATATGTTGATTTCAAACGTATTGAGATATCCAAGATCAACATCAAATTTTCACAATTGGCAAGGTTGCACTGTCAAAAGAATTTTTTTCTTTGCTCAAGACTTGCATGCAACTTCTTCACTATAAAACACAGATTTTATATAAGATTAAAAGCGCTATTGTTTAGAATTTTGTCGTTGTTTAGAATATTGTCGCAATCTCCAAAAGATTTCAAAAATGCTTTCACATAGAGATTGATATTTTGTGACACATATCAAATTCTGTGACACATATCAATTCTTAGAATGTTGACTTTTATGATGATTTTTCACATGTTTCATGTGATTTGTTTAGCTTGATTTAGTATTTTTGAAATCATACTCAAAAAAACATCACAACTTGGTGTAGTTTTTACTATATAACAACACATTGCCATCTTGGTCTAAACAATTGATGTGTTCATAAAATCATCTATTAGTTTTGTTATAGATTCTTTTGTCAAGGATGGCAAGTGTACTATATTTGTTGATTTCAAAGTTTTTTTCATCGTCATCCGCAAAAGTTTCAATCTTGTTGTTGCTAGAGGAGCTAGCATGTTCACTTTTGAAATCTGAGGCCAAGCCAGCAACCTGCCTAACGGGAGTCGGGTTATGAGTGATTACTTTTACTCTCTCGGTGAACCGTGTCTGAGTTGCCAACGACGACAATTGTAGCGTCCAATTCGCCGGAATCTTCATTTCAGACTTTGATTCGATGATAAATGAAAATAATAGCGTTGATGTCGTATGGATTGCACAATATGGAAAAATTTATTAATTTTTGAAATAATAGATCAGATACAGTACTATACTTGAATTTGATTTAGTACTCTACTTGAATTTGATTTGAACTTGAAATTTTTGTTTCACCTGCATCCGATCAAGTTGTACGTGTATGTGGAAATGAAATAGTCTAAAAAATTGGAACCATAATTATTCAAACCATAATTACAATTGTGCGAATGACGAGCAGTACACCATCTTCATGACTTGAATTTTCTTTTGAAATCTTCTCTTTGTTTCTTAGTACATCTCTTGTTAATATTTTAATTGTAGTGTATGAAAATCAAAACCTTGCTAGACTCTGAAGCCTCACCACATTTCATTGACAAAGATTTTGCAAAAAAATTTATGTTTTCTTAATCTTCAAGAAATCTTGAGGTCATGTAAAAGTTATTGATAGTAGATTTTTTACTTCGATGACGTGATCTAAGAAACCAAATCACTACAGATCATGATAAATTTCTATCACATAATCATAGTTTTCAATGTCATCAAATATTTGTTCAAGCCAGTAGTGTTAAGACTTTCTTGGTTCAAAAAATATAATTTGAATTTTGATTGGAACAATAAAAAATAATCATTATGATCAAAAATTACTCCTAGTATTAATACGAATATATTTAGAATTCAAAATACATAAAACATAAACCTTGTTTTGATTAAAACATCAAAATTTCAAGTCCTCACATTTGTCGGCGCAAGAGCATTCTTGAGAGATGCAAATAAATGAACTATGCAACTCTCACATCTGAACAATCAATCCAATCTACTCTTTAATCTAATCAAGGAATATGAAGATGTAATTGAAAAAAATACTGCATATATATATATATATATATAAACTAACAAGTGTTTCATGTTTTTTAACTTGATATGTATAAAAAATTAATTGATTCAATTCGGGCGCTAGCACCCGCATTGGAATAGTTGATTGATGGTAGAGGCTGTAA